AAATATTCATCAAATAAATGGTTGAATAAGTGGATGGTAGATAAAAACACAATCCTTGTCCTGAAGAGACCACGAAAGAGTTCACAGTCTAGTGAGGAATTGGCATCTCATATGAACACATATGTGCTGGAAATTCCAACCACAGGGAGTCATACAACATCCACTCAGCCCACACTAGAATGGGAAATGTCAGTAAATTGCAATCTGTCGTTCCTGACTAATTAATCTGTCTATAAATTTGAAATACTAAGTTTTAATTTTGGTATAATTACTTCATATGAAATTAAGTGCAATTTAAATAGCAGGTCTTAAAGAGGGGGAAAGGTGAGAAAAGTATTTCATGATCCCTTCAGTGTACTCAACCTAAAAATCTCATTTTTGACAGCGAAGGATCTGGATTTAGTCCATGTGAGGCACTTTTGTGGTATGACTAAGTATCTGTGTACAAGAGAACTTGAAACTCATTTAGCCCAACTATTTTTGTGGTATAAAATCCCCTCTATAATGTTCTCCAGAAAGTTCTTATCAAATCTCTGCCAAAAGACACCTGTAATAGGGAATATACTCCATTTTATTATATCCATTTTCTGAATTATTAAAACTCTAAATTCTACTTAGTGTAATATCCTCTAGGTCCTAAGTGAAATAAGTCAGACAAAGACAAAGATTGTATGGTTTCATTTACATATGAAATCTATGTAAAAGCAAAACAAACAAAACGAAACAAAGACAGACTGATAGAAAAGGAGAGCAAACTGAGGATCACCGGGGGGGATGGTGAAAAAGGTGAAGGTGAACATGATCAATAATGTTGTGATAAGTTTGTAGAGTGACAGATGGTTGTTAGACTTAGTGCGATGATCACATTGTAAAGTATATGACTGTCAGAACACTATGGTGTACACTTAAGAGTAATATATGCCAACTATATTTTAAAAACCCTCTAAATTCTAGGAAACTAGTTCCTAATAACTTGACTTGGTCCAATTTAACTATTGTATTTAAAATTGGCTGCCTTTAACCTCCTGAATTTGAGCTCTATTTTTTTTTTTTTTTTTTTGAAAAGAGGACATAAAAAGATTTGTTAGGACGGTCGGGGCAGAGATGGGTGTCAGCTGAAGGAGGAATGGCAAACCTACAGTGGGTCGTGATATTAACAATTTTGTGTAGCTGAATGAGAAGAGTTAAATAACTTATTTGTTGATTTGTATAACAAATGCTTGATGAATGTATTAGATATTATAATTAGTATTGCGAATTATTTCAATGTTTAGAGCAAAGAGTGTGTCTGAGTTGAGTCTTGAAATGTGCCTCGCTAACAAAATGGGAGAAAGTACTGAAGGCAGTTCTTTTTTTTTTTTTTTGAATTTAATTTTTTTGAATTTAATTGTTGTTCAAGTACAGTTTTCTGTCATTTACTCCTATCCCAGCCCCCCCCCCCCAGTGCTCCCCACCTCCCTCCCATTTCTACCCTCCTTATTTTTTGTACAAATGTCCTTTATACTAACTCCTATAAATCCTTCCCTTTTTCCCCTGAAATTCTCTCCCCTCTCCCCTCTGGTCACTGTCTGCCTGTTCCCTATTTCAGTGTTTTTGGTTATATTTTGCTTGCTTGTTTGTTTTGTTGTTTAGGTTCCTGTTCAAGGTGAGATCATATGGTATTTGTCTTTCAACGCCTGGCTTATTTCACTTAGCATAATGCTTTCCAGTTCCATCCATGCTGTTGCAAAGGGTAGGAGCTCCTTCTTTCTTTCTGCTGCATAGAAGGCAGTTCTTTATTCCACACATTTTCATAGAGCACCTGAAAATTCACAATGGAAGAAGAGAAGAACAACAAACGATTTAGGGCAGAGCCCAGCTTCTGTTGCTGGCAGTTTCTGCATGTATCTGGTGGCCAGTGACCTTTCATTTTTATTGCATGAGCAAAGCACAGAATTAAAATTCATGCAACATGCAAGATAGGGAGACAGTGCAGAGACTCCTCAAATTTGAGTGTCTCCCAAAGTGGACGGCATCAATGAAAGGCTAAACCAGGAAAATAAAAAGTCTTGCTTTGTAAGAAGGAAATAGCAAAGAAACTTGAGTGTCTTAGCTTTGGCTCTGAGAGAAGTTTCCACATATAATTTATTGAATCAGAATCGATATTATACTGGAATCTCAGAAATCCCTAGGTGATAAATTTGTTTAATGTTATTACAAGTTGAAACTTTTCTCAACTGCCTGGAGGAAAAATAAATTATTTCTTGAGGAATGGATCTTAATCCCAGCTTGCAAATAATTTCCATTCCTATGAAATATGAGTTTACAATTTTAAAATATGAGAAAGAAATTAGCCACTGGGAGTGAGAGACCTAGCCCTTCAGCTTCCCCAAAATGAAATTAGGTTTACTAAGACCATAGACACTAGAATTTTCTGATATAGAATAGAAAATAAGTATGCTTAATACGTTTAAAAAGTAAAATATAAAAATGAACCAGAGACTATAAAAATGTTCAGAAAGATTTGATGAAAAACCCAAGGAACTTGTAAAAATAAATATATAATAATTTAAATAAGGCATTTAGCAAGTTTTAAATATGAGTTTAATGAAGCTGAAGATAGAAATATCAAACTAGAGAAAGTATCTTAAGAAATTTATAAAATAATCACAAAGCCATGCAAAATATTAAAATCTAAGCACTCTAGAGAGCATACTGAGAATTTTTAACATGCATCTAAACAGAATTTTCTGATTAGGAAATACTAGAGAAGAGAGAGCAAGGTAATTTTAATTAAAATATATATTTATTGATTTTGGGGAGAGAGAAAAGGGAGAGAGAAACACTGGTCTAAGAGAAACATCAATTAGTTGCCTTCTGCATGTGCCCCAGTTGAGGACTAAACCCACAATCCAGGAATATACCTTGACTGGGAATTGAAATGGCAACCTTTTGGTCTACTGGACAATGCTCCAAGGAACTGAGCCTCAGCAGCCAGGAGAAGGAAGGTCATTTTAGAAGAGATATCGACCACTGCCTCTTAGAGACCTGCAGGTCTGGAACAGAGAAAGGACAAAATGAGCCTAGAACCATTATTGTAGCAGAAAGGAAGGAGTGTTCAAAAGCCAATGGAGATATGACAAATGGTTCAGGACTGACCAGCCGGTTTTGGCAGCATGAGTGTCAAAAAGAACAAAGTTGGAAGTAGGTTATAACACTGAGTAAAAAAAGGAATTCATGTGCTATATCCTACACCTTCCCTCTCTACAAGTTAGCATCATTATTTTCACTAAGTAGATAGTACTTAAGAAACAAACAAATATGTATATTGAGTGTCACTGTGATTAAGGATGCAGGCTCCAAGGCCGACCTGCTTGGGTTTGAATATTGACTCTTATCTACTCTATATAACTGGGGAAAGGTAACTTTTTTTTTGCTCAAGTGTCCTCATCTGTAAAATAGAGATAAAACTAGTAACTAATTTATGGGTTGGTTATGAGAAATAAAATATATGATAATGTATATATAACAATTAGCACACTTAGCTTGTAGTAAATATTTTCAAATGTTTCTGTTTTTCAGACTCAAACTTACGAATTCTTTCTGTGATTCACCTGAATATATTTCTCAATTTATTGTGTGTCTTTACATAAAGTGTGTCTTTTGAGCTCTATAGTTACCCTTCCAAGTAGGCAAGGCAGAAAATACCTGCTTTCCCTGATTAGGTACCTGAGGTTCCATGAGCTCTGGGGGCCACAGAACAGAGTAATGAAGGGTGAACCTACAGTCAGAAGGATACGGGTTCATCACTTGGCTCTGCACTTTTTGATTTACAGTATGCTGGGTAATCTGCTTTCCTTGTGTGTAAAAGGGAGAAGTCACAGTACTGTACCAAACAAACAAAGAGCAATGAGGCATAAGTGTAGCATGATTCACAGGGAATGCTAACTAATACCCCTGGCATTTTACAGCACTAACAAATGTTAACACGCTGTTCTTCATTTCTCCAAAATTGCAATATTCCATGTTATATGTTTTCAGTGTAATTTACATGACTGTGCTTTTTTGTCTCTTAGTGTTGAGATACCACTAGTTTGTAAATAGTCTAAAACAGAGGATTTTGTCCCATTTTTTTAAAGATTTTATTTATTTATCTTTAGAGGGGAAGGGAAGGAGAGAGGGAGAGAAACATCAATGTATGGTTGCCTTTCATGCATCCCCTGCTGGGAACTGGCCTGCAGGGAACTGGCCTGCAACCCGGGTATGTGCCCTGACTGGGAACCGAACCGCGATTGTCTGGTTCTCAGGCCCGCGCTCAATCCACTGAGCTACACCAGCCAGGGCTTGTCCCATTTTTAATATATCTTCAATAGATCTGAGCTAGTAGCTAGAAGGTACTTAATGTAGGACAATATTTTGTTGTAATGTTTCAAACTATATGTTAGTCCCATTGCTGATACAAATTACCAAGTAATAGGTATTTTAAAAATATTCGTGTGATTTTCGCTTTGGACTCTAAGAACTAGTTGTTAATTTTTTTAAGCAGAAACTTTGTCTTTTCTGGACTTTGGTCTTCCGATCAAATGGGTAAGGCTTTTTGGAGCCCTCCGTGTTCCTATTTATATTAACAAAGGATTGCCAAATTATTTTCAAATAGCAGGCTCGCCTGTAAAAACTGAGCCTTCTGATGATTGCAACGATAATAATGCTGATATGTGTAAACGAGGCCATTTGTATCCATTGGGATGTGCTCTGCTGTTGCCGACATTTCTTGGGGAGCTCTCTGTTTCTTGATATATGTAGTTCATTTACCCTACACTTTCAGTGCTAAATTTCAGTAATTGCAAAAGATCTGAGGAGCATGGGGTGAAAAAATACACTCAAATGTGTGTTAGTAATTTTTTTGAAAAATATTGTAGTACCTGTTATTAAAAAATCTGAGATTTGCAATTTAATTTGAAAAATGCCCTTATAACTTGAAAACTAATAGTCTACAATTAAAGCTTCTTTTTTAATTCCAGAACAAGTTAAACTGTGTAAAATAGTGACTAATATTGAGTCAGTGGGGAAAAAAATGGAGAAAGAAAAGCAACAGTACCGTGGGAAGTCCAGGTAATGTGCACTAAGCTAATCTATAGGAAATGACTTTCCTTCCACTTTGCCAATATTTCATGACCAATTCTTGTGGTTTCTCAAGTCTATTAACACCCCATGCATGAGGCTAATTTACCCTTCTGCTTGAGTCCCTCAAAGCAATATCAATTATCAAAATTTTAGTTTTCAGTTCAATTAACTTTTGAACTGGAAGATGTGTGAGTAGTTAAGCAAACCATCTGGGTTTTACAGTGCATAAGCGCCAATCCAATTTGTGGCTTTCTTGAGAAAAATGCCATATTTTATGATAATATTACATAAGTTTGGGATTTTAATAACTCATCTGCAGCAATTATGGAGCAGAGTTAAGTTATAATTTTTCTTTTTTAATTTAATAATATAAAGTTACTCTTTTTCTAACAGAAGGTGAGGCCGATCCTACAAAGCATAGTGAGTAGGCAGACATTTTGAATATACTACTCTCCAAAAATGGGGGGAGATGGGTCAGTTGCTTTGCTGAATTAGTCCACTAACTGCCATCATCCTCTTTAAGATGGTTTTATAATTGTGTGTGTGATTGTCAACCCTGAAGCTACAGACAGACCCTCTCAAAGGCCTTTGGCAAATTTTGTAAGAGCACATATACTTGTAGAATATAAATACCACCCTGTTAAAATGTTGTTTATTTCAGGCCCTTGTTTTACATCAATTCATTATTATGGTCAGAAATTTGAGGTAATTGGCGCAATTATAAATAAGAGAAATTTGAGAAAATGTTGCCATGGCTACACAGAATGTCATTGATCTTCCAATATTTATGCTACAAAAATGTGCTTTAACAAACTAGAAGATTCTTGCTCAGAAGTACGCATCTTCTTGGCTTAAGTATAAGAAGTATACTTATTCAAGAAGTATATTCAAGTTTGGAAGAGTGGGATATATGTAGAGCTTTAATACTGAGGGTCTGTTTTTTCCATGATAAAATATTAATTGTGAAAAAAATTATTGTATTGGGAATTTACTGGTTTATAAAAATTTTCTTTCTGCCTTTACCTATTTTAACCCAAGGCCCAGATTGGTTTAGCAGAGTGGTAGCTGTTAAAAGAGTAGTTAATACAGCAATTTAACCAAATAGTTTAGAATTTCAGTTAGATTTTAATAGCAAGAAACATTAACTAATTTTAAAACCTACAATTTTCAGTATATTTAGATAGGGCCAGTAATCCAAGGAAGAGTAGTAATGACTTAGGGACAAGGGGACATACATTACTTCTTAATAATCTGATCATGTTCAATATTTACCACATATTATTTCCTGCAACTGGCAGAAGAGAAAGGTCTCTCTACCCCCTTGTGTCCCATTTTTTTTAAATGAAAATATGTCTTGCTTAACGAGGAAGATCAACACCCTTTGACAGCCTGGGACCCATAAAACCTGAACTTAAATCCAGCCGGCCTGCCTTGTCTTCATAGTTAGCTCATGGCGGTGACTTGTTTCCTACCTTAGCAGTTAGCTTCGTTTTATAAATATTAAAAGTGTGCTGGGAGCACAGAAGAAAAGGCAAATCATTGTTTTAGGACATGATGACTCAGGCTTTTAAAAAGCCTGTGTTTAATTAGACAAATAAAATGCTATTATGCTGAGCTTTTTATTGAAATCTACCATACCACAGGATCTAGAAAAAAAAAACTTGGCAATGAGGCTATAAGCAACAGTCAGGAAGTCAGGTGCGATCGTAACGGTGCAGCGATAGGATCTAGGATTAATTAGCATCAATTGATCACCTTTTTTGTGGGACTCGAGAGGTGTCTGTTCAAGACAAATAGACTCGTATGAGAGAAGTTGTACATAGACTACTTACAATTCACCTGAACATGCTAATTTTTACACATTTTTAATGTGGCACAATATTTTTAGGTAAACCATAAAAATATTGATTCATGAAAGGAATTTCTTTGGATACCAAATGAAGAAATAGGATAGAATCATATAAATATTTTTTCTTTTTTTGAAAATTACTTCTTTTTATTAATCATTGAATCAAGCACTTGTATAGTTATTTAGAAATATAAGCAATATATATTATTTAAAACAACCCATTCATATACATAATTTACAAAAATATTTAGTTAGGTTGTGTTAGTGAGGGAAAAACCATTCTCAAAACAAAGTATGTTAGCATTATTTAATATTATTCCTGTCAAATTTATAAGCTTATGTACTATGCATATTCATCTTGAGTCACCAAAATGTGACCTGTGAATACTTTTTCCCAAATATGTCTATGTTTGACTTGCAGAGGGAAAACAAAATTGAATATTTCTGCTTTTCAAATTTAAGCTCAAGGAAGTGAAGTTATTTAATGTACCTTCAAACTTTAACTTCAAAGATTAATTATCATACCTTAACATACTCTTTTGATTACAATAATGATAAATGGGCGTTCATTTTAAGTATTAATTTTTCATCAAGGAAATTCACTTATCATTCACTCATTTATTACAGCAGATTTTTTTAGTTGATGATATTTACTTAGTTGATGATATTTTATACCAGATTTGGTGGTATAGAAACTGCATTTCTGTAAGTAGATTCTATAATTCGGACAGGTGAACCTGTATTTCTTCCCTTAATTTTGTGATCAATAGGTGTTTCCTATGTATTACACAGCAATTTGTATTTATATTATTCTGATCAGTTTAATAACAGATGAAGACGGGTCATTCACCTTAATGTTTGTAAAAGTATTGTGCCTAAATGGATTAATTGTGGTCTACTATTAAAATCTTTCATTAACAGGGAATCATTTTTAAAAATACAATTAATAGTTCTAATCTTGAGCTTTACATAATATTTAACCATGGGTCAGATAGAAGAAAGCAAAGCAAACTGACTGAGTAGTTTATGTTCACCCAGCTCTTGCTAGCATACAAATAATTTCTAGAATTTCAGATGGAGTTGTGCAAAACTGCCTGAATACTTATTAAGCATCTTGTATTTTTCCCTTGGCAATATGACTCAGTTATATTAGGGACACCTCAGTTCTTTGGCTACCTGAAAGGGCATGACCACTTGAAGGACAACTACACTCATGGATCTTATGAGCCAGTCATTTACTTACTATTTATTGAGTGCCTACTATGGGCCTAATGTAAAACTCTGAACAGGACAATTACACTCTCTTCCCTCACAGAACCTACACTTTGATGGGCAGAATGTGTTAAAATCCTAAGAATTTCTTTTATATAACATGTGAATTAGTAATTTCATTTCTAGGCATTTATAACAAGGAAATAATCGGACAGGTACACAAATATAAATACTCAAAGACTTTTATCTGTGTCTGTAAATAACACAAATGGAAATAAGCCCAATGTCCAGCAGAAGAAGGTTTAAGGTTTATAAATAAACCATCAGCATGTTAAATCCATACAATGGAATGTTATGTAGTAGGTCAAAATAACAATGTGCATCTCTGTATATTTACAAAGAAAGATTTTCATGCTATAAAGTGTAAAAGTAAGCTGAAAAAGTTTATACATAAACACAGAAAAGGTATGGAGTATATTACACATTTTAATCATGACAAATGGTGTCAGTATAAAGTAATAAGAAGAAGCTTATCTTTTGAAGTCCTGCCCATTGCCTGGATTCAAATCCTGGCTCCACCCATTTCTGGCTGAGATAATCTGAACTGTATACTACTGAACACAACTACATCTTAGTTTCTTCATTTATAAAATGGGTATAATGATAGTAAATACCCAGAGGCTTCTTATGAGGATTAAATGTAATAGTGATTGGCTGATAAGGAACTAAGGATTTGCAATTATCACTAAAATATTAGAGAGGTGAATTAAGGGCAATTTTCATTTTCTTCCTTTTGCTTATTTACATTTTCTAAAGTTTCTACGTGGTATCCAGTCTTTGATTCTGCTGACTTGGTTGAATCTCTCCACTTCATGAAAGCATGTTGCTTAAAATCTTTTGCAAAACAGAGAAGAAATAGATATAATGCATGTTTTTTCTAATTTTTATAAGATTTTTTTGTTCAGAAAGTGAATGTTACTAATTGTTATCCATGCTCAGAGCCATCAAAATTTCAGATTATTTTGTCTTCATTCAATAATGAATATTATTCAAGGCCCCACAATGCACCCTTGACTGAAGGGTGCAGAGGGTACAACACGTGTTGTCTTGGTTGACAGGAGACAAGTAGTTTTCTCTCAAAGATTAGCGTCTAATCCTGTAACATCAGCCTTGAAAGACTGTATTTTGAAATAGGACTATGAAATCACTCAGAGCTCTAACTTGGTATTTTTTGACACAGAGTGCTGGACTCATATGCCTTACCCATCACCAAGTTTGGCTTTTCTGTACAATCCATGACCTCTCCTCTCATGGGGCTTCTGAAAGGACACGGTGAGTCTCCTTGTTGGGAGTGTTGGTAGCAGTGATTCATTCAAAACGCGGAATAAAACAGCTAGTATTGGGGCAGTCATTTTGTTTTAATTCTATGGCAAATACTGTGTCAAAAAGATTTCAGAAACAACTACTAACAACTTTTTTAGCTCCTTTTTTGAACCTGAGACATAGGACTTTTTTTGGTGTCATTCATTTTGAAAGTGTTTAGGAAGTTAGAAGAATAAATTCTTCTGGTTTTAAAAGTTTCTCCATAATTGAATTATTTTTATTTATTAATTTTTTTCTGGGACTATGCTTTTTTTGATTGATTATGCCATTACAGTTGTTCTATTCCCCCCTTCATTCCTCTCCACTCTGCACCCCCACCATTCCCCCCCTTTAGTTTATGACCATGTGTCTCAAGTTCTTTAGATTCTATATTTCCCCTACTATTCTTACCCTCCCCCCATCTATTTTCTACCTACCATCTATGCTACTTATTTTCTGTACCTTCTCCCCACTTCTCCTCCTCCCACTCCCCTGTTGCTAACCCTCCATGAGATCTTCATTTCTATGTTTCTGCTCCTGATCTAGCTGTCCTTTTAGTTTGCTTTTGTTTTAGGTGTGGTTGTTAATAACTGTGAGTTTGCTGTCCTTTCACTGTTCATCTTTTTTATATTCTTTTTCTTAGATAAGTCCCTTTAACATTTCGTAGAATAAGGCTTGGTGATGATGAACTCCTTGAATTTGATCTTATCTGAGAAGCACTTTATCTGTCCTTCCATTCTAAATGAAAGCTTTGCTGGATAGAGCAATCTTGGATGTAGGTCTTTGGATTTCATGACTTGGAATACCTCTTTCCAGCCCCTTGCCTGTAAGGTCTCTTTTGAGAAATCCGCTGACAGTCTGATGGGGACTCCTTTGTAGGTGACTGTCCCCTTAGCTCTTGCTGCTTCTAGGATTGTCTCCTTCATTTTAATCTTGGCTAATGCAATGATGTGCCTTGGTGTGTTCCTCCTTGGGTCCAACTTCTTTGGTACTCTCTGAGCTTCCTGGATTTCCTGGAAGTCTATTTCCTTTGCCAGATTGGGGAAGTTCTCCTTTATTATTTGTTCAAATAAGTTTTCCACTGGTGGCTGTTCCTTTCCCCCTTCTGGTACCCCTATAATACGGATGTTGGAGCATTTAAAGATGTCCTGGAGGTTCCTAAGCCTCTCCTCATTTTTTTGAATTCTTGTTTCTTCATATTTTTCTGTTTGGCCATTTTTTTCTTCCTTCTAGTTTACTTTCTTGATATGAGTCCCAGTTTCCTCTTCATCACTATTGGTTTTTTGTGTGTTTCCCTTCATTTCAATTAGTTTAGCCTTCATATGTTCCTCTAATTTGTGACTAAAATCAACCAGTTCTGTGAGCATCCTGATCACCAGTGTTTTGAACTATGCATCTGAAAGTTTTGCTATTTCTTCCTTGCTTAGAGTTATGGGCTCTGGGGCTTTGAGATCTTCTTGAGCCATTTTTGGTCTGTTCACTCCTATTAAGTATAAGGAGTGAAGCCATAGGTGTTCACCAGGGCGGGGATACCCAGGTTGCTGGTTTGTGATGCTGTATATTGGGGTGGGGTCAGAGTGGGAAAATGGACGCCCCCTCTGCTGCTTCTCCCCACTGGTGCCTGCTGGGTCCTGTCTCACAGCCCACTCCCTCGCTGGTCTGTCTGCGCACAAATGCGCGACCACAGTCACCCCGCCGCCCTGTGCCCTCGCTGGGTCCTCCGAGTCACTCACTGGGTCTGCCTGTTGCAACCCTACGCCTGGGATCCACTCACCTGAGTCCATCTGACCGAATTTTCCTGTGCAACCCTGCTCTGCCAGCTGCTGGCTTCATCCCTCTTACCGGTCAGGCTGAAGAATTTCTTGTTATCAGACTTCTGAAAAGTTCAATTTTCTGTGTTCTGGCTATGTTTTCTGTTGCTAATATTTTGTTGTCTCTAAACTTGGTTGTGAGAAACCAAGTTGTGAGAAAGCACAGCGTCTCCACCTATGCCTCCATCTTGGCAGAAGTCCGAGTTATTGTTATTTTTAAAACTACATAATTCTTCAAAAGAAAATGTAGATGATCCTCTAAAGTCCCTTAAGTATGATTGAGAAACTCTTTGGAATGAGGTAAGCTACTTGAAGACCTAGGGGGCTATTGAGTCAAATAAATTATTTTGTACTTTGCCCTCTTTTTAACTTATTACTCATGCTCTTGAGCTTCAGGCTATCATTAAGAGGAAAAGCTTCTTGTAGAGTAGACTTTGATTAACTGTGGAATACATTTCTGAAAATTTGTGCAATAAAGTCCTCCTTAGATTCTCACGTCACTCTTGCACACAATTTCCTTGATCCGACTACAATTTTACACCCTTTATTTGTTTGAATTATTATAGAAGGGATTCTGGCATCAAGTGGAAGCCTGGAAAACACATTTTCATTAATCCAACCAATTTCCCCCCAAACTATGAGTATTTGTGAATACAACGCCAGGATCTTAAACAAATATAATTGGTGGTTTAAATTTTTTTCTTTTTAGGCTTGATCAGCTACTCTGAGCCCTAGGGTAGTGGAATAAAGTGTGGATCTCAACTGAGTCTAGAAGTGATTATGCATGTGAAGAAGTAAATGCTGTCAACAGTTCGTCATAAGGCATAGGTTTAATAAATGAAATAATTTTAGTAGATAATAATCTTGAAATCTGATAACCCTAAAAGTGAGGTTATAGCTCTTAACTACCCCATAAGTGAAAGTCCTACTAATTCTGTGACATTTAGAGTTTATTCAGGGTCATCCTAGGGGCTGGTCGGAGCCTCTGCTTACAGATGCTGTCTACCTCAGATAAGTCACCTGTGTCGTTTCCTTGCAGAGGAGCTTCTTTTTTTTTTTAAACGATTTTATTTATTTATCTTTAGAGAGGAAGGGAGGGAGAGAAGGAGAGAAATATCAATGTATGGTTGCCTTTTGTGAGTCTCCTGCTGGGAACTGGCCTGCAACCCAGGCATGTGCCCTGATTGGGAATCGAACCGCGATCATGTGGTTTGCAGTCCTGTGCTCAATCCACTGAGCTACGCCAGCCAGGGCTGCAGAGGAGCTTCTTTTTTTTTTTTTAATATTAAATTTTATTTAGTTACTTTTCAAGTACATTTTTTTTTTTATCTATTTCTCCCATCCCACCCCACCCCCCCGCCCGGTCTCCCCCCCTCATTCCCCCCCCTCCCAGTCCTCATCTCTGCGTCCCTCATACTTGTTCCTCAAAATCCCTCCCCCTTTTTCCCCTTAAGTTCCCTTCCCTCTCCCCTCTGGTCGCTGCCCACTTGTTCTCTATTTCAGTGTCTTTGTTTTTGTTCTGTTTGCTTGTTTGTTTTATTCTTTAGCTTCCTGTCAAAGGTGAGATCATATGGTATTTGTCCTTCAATGCCTGGCCTATTTCACTCAGCATAATGCTTTCCAGTCTACTACCTTTTGCAACAACATGCAGAGGAGCTTCTTAGCTCACTGGCAGGTTCAGGAGTTCTCATGGCTTTAATCTGAATGCTGAAATTTTTTTAAGCCTTCTTTTTTCCACATACCCAGAGCTTACTGTACAGGAACTTGACCACTGTTTGTTTAGTGCTAAAGAAAAGACAGAAGACCTTCTAAAACATGTGTTGAGAGAATCCCAGTTACAAGCTGCAGATCACTGTGAAATTGTGAGAGGAAGGCTAGCAGAATGGGCAGTCACCTGAGTATGTTTTGAGATTTGTTAATGGTTCTACCCATGCAAAATTTTTTTGCAGAAATATCTAAAATGTTTGCTACTAGAGCCCTAAATCATGGAAACTCAAGACTCCCTGTGCTTATCACAATGATGAGTAAACTGGCACCTATTAGACACTAATAAATAATTTGTTAAATGAATGAATGAATTATTGAATGTTAATTAAAAGAAGAAGCCACCTAATGGAATATACTTCTCTACATATCTATGTGTGTGTTTCTGCTTAGTAGGCTAAAACATGATAACTGCTAAAAGAAAAAAGAATTTGGTGATGTCAAATACAATAATAAGAGTAATGAATTAATAATAGTAATAATATGGAAAAAATAAAACCAGCTGCTATTTTTCGGTTCTTGTTTACTGATTATTTGTAGACTGTAGAGATACCATTAGAATAAGAAAAATGTTATGTAGCTTACTTTATATACTTTAAAACCAAAGCGTTGGGAAATTATCAGTTTTATGATATAAGTCTCTCAGTACTCATATAACCTCATGGGGGGCTGGAAGGTTGTACGCAATGAAAGCTTAAAATTGCAATAAAAAATCATCATTTCTGTGTAGTATAGGGTAGCCATTCTTTTATTCTTTAAAACGAAATGTATTTTTTAATCAAATAGGAGGGGGAATTTCATGACTGCTTTGTTGTATGTGAGGTTTTTGTTTTATTTTGTCTTGTTTTTAGCCAAACCTCTTTTTTTATAATTGGAACTTTGTTTTGGCAAAAGCAGAAATATCCAAAGGCCTGTGGCCAGCAGTGCATTCTGGGTGAGCTATTAGTAAAGTGTAGCACATGCAGGTTTTCTTGTGAGTGACCTAGGTGTGGTCTTGGCTTTGTGTCTTGGGTGAAAAATAATGAATACTTTTTACATGCTTGTTAATTTTTTAGTTTATTTTAAAGTATAGTCTGAAACTGTGCACAACGAAGATTATTCTCCACATCATTATTATAACTCTGTTTCAATTAGTAAGTTACAGCTTTGCTGAATTTCTAAAACAGTCACTGAGGCCTATTTAATAATAGAATGTAGCTTAAATTGTGAGAGAATGTAGATCTTGTGGTTTTCTCTAAGGCGTGTGGTAATTTACTAGGCTCTTAAATGAAAATTGCCCAGTTCTTTTTTAGAATAAGTAAAGTATTCTTATTTAAGGAAATAGGAAAGGAAATTAGAACATAGGAATAAAGACAAAGTTATTACTTCTATTCGTTTGACTTATATATCATTATA